TCACTACTAGTACTTCCATTATTACTTTTGTCGGTGAGTTCACAGAGTGTGTGAGGTCTCATTACATTCTCAAGAAATATTTTCCCATGAATGAATCTTCCGAACGATGCGACATCTCGTCGCCTCATAATGACCCTTCTATGAAGTGCTATATTTAACGGTATGTGTAAGTAGTCGAAAATAATTATTTCTACTCAGTCATTTTAACTAAGAAATTCTCGAATTTCTAAATTTTGATTTGAAATATCACATCAGTTGAATTCTGCACAATGTAAGATCTAAAGTGAACATTTAATTTTAAATCATTTAACTTGAAAGTTAGAAATTGGAAAAATATTCACCCAACAATTTGATTGTTGAGAATACAACAATCAAAATGTAAACAATAACAATCAAGTTTTAAAAATGATAAAAATTTTAGCTGTAGCAAAAAAATCAAAATCAAAATTGCAGTAGACTATTATATATTTCATAATATTTTTTATCTATATCTTCAACTTCAATGGAATTAATTGATTTAATTCCAAACATTTACTTCAAAGTGCTCCTACATATCAGTAATTCTGTAATTCCTTAAAAACCAAAAAGATTTAAGTGGAACTATACAAAATTGAACCTTTTGATTTTTAAAATCCAGTCAAATAGCTCTCTGTAACAAATTTCTTGGACGAAACATACAATTACTCAAATGTAACACTCACATTTCTTTAGATTTGCTTCAAAAGAGTCGATTTTTTGTATGGTTAATCTTCAGTGAAGAATGAAAAAAGATTTGTAACTCTGAAGTAAACCTTACTGCGGAATCGAAATGGCATTTAAAATAATCAGTAGAAGTGGTATAGTATATTAAACAAAAAATTTTTAAATAACTGAAATGAACTTATAAAAAAATTGACAAACAAAAAATTGAAATCCCTCACAATAGTAACAATTAAATGTTTCTCCTTGTTGCGTCCTCCTCTCTTTTCCTCTCTCTCTCTCCCTCTCTCTTCCTTCTTCAATGAAGTTATTGCCCTTTATCCCACGAAAATTAACACATTCCTACACTTACTGTTGTCTTCCTTCTAAAAAAAAACGATAAAATGTATTCACACGTGAATTGTAATTATAATTACTATTGGGGTCATAGTTCACCTGACACTTTCTTATAAATTTATGTGAACAATAATTAAGATTAGATGTTACATTTCCATGGATCATCGTTTATTGCTCATTTTCCTTTTCGGAACATATCTTTCTTTTCTTGTGATATTTCCTAATAACAAAATGATTCAATTGAAAAAACCAAAAAGGTAATTCTGATATGTAATAATGAAAGTACAAAACAGAATGGAACCAATAACCGGGACTTCTTGAAATTAAATTAATCCCATTAATTGATGATATTTAACACAGCACAGCTTATCCAGTCGTGTCGTAATGTATCGGCATTGTTAAATAGGACCACCCAGTGGAAACTTACAACTTTTAAAACTGTTCAACCCCACTTAATACACATCGTCTTTATTTGCATCGCTTCTATCCTTGGCTTGTGATTTCAAATCCGTTCGGTTGTATTCTTGCATTCTACTGGGCACATGCTAACACATCAACTGTAACAAGGTCTCTAAGACCACGCCCGAACCAATTCTGGACACTGTAACCCAACCAACACTAACACATGCTTTCATCTTGATCAAAATGTAGAAATTAGTTGAGAGAACTACGAGATTTCCTAGCCAAATTCCAAACTCTGTGTCCCATCTCGAAGAGCAGTAGCCGCGGTTTCTTACCCATACAATAGTGTGAACCCCAAGTTATCAAACTGAAACTATCAGATCCGCATTATCTTTACCAACTTTCATTTTCATCACCTACCTCATAATTTAATTTAAAATGATCTCACAGTTACAATCCAATAATGGTGTATATTTTTTTGTTTTTGTCAACAAACAAAACTTAACATTTATATAGCGAACAACAATCTTAATGACTTGTGAATTAATTATTGTGCTTCCTGTTGTGCTTTCAGCATCTTAAGATATGCTTTCTTATTTTTGACGCGATTCTTGCGTACTGCCAGTGAACCCTTCTTCGCCGTCCAACGTTTTTTTGTCACCTGAAAATATTAATTGAAATTAATAATCAAAGTAAAGAAATACTACATACACCATGAAGCACCTTAGAAAGGATATCGCAACAATTTCCGAAATTCATATAATATATGATGAAGAGAGCGAAAAAGCAAAAAATGACCTCTTTTGGCTCTTTAGGTTCTCTCGCTGGATTCTTACGAATAGCCTCATGTGCCTTTTTATACATATCCACAATCTGCAAGTACACAGTCTATTGCATATTAACATCAGGTATAAAGCCAAACATTAGTGTTGGTTACAGGAATTAGTTTAGGTAAAAAAGTTGAAAAAGCTTACGTCATCTGCACTAATGTTGGCAGCAATAAAACGCGAAAAATGTTGCTTATATGCATCTTCATCTTGTTCCTTCAACAGTGCCATATAATCGGCAACATGTTTTCCAAGTATTCTATCACGATGTGCTTCAGCATTATATTTGGTTTCCGAATTATAACCAAAGAAACGCGTTTCACTGAAAAAACACCGTATCACTTTTAAATCAACTTTTAATCATAATCCAATCTAAATAACATAGAATGACTAGCTACCAAACGACGAATTATCATGGAAGAATTGCTCCAAAACGTGGAATCAATATATATACCATTATGAGATGATACACACCTATGTGGAACATCGATACCACCATCGGCAACACCTTTCATGACCGCGAAAACCTTAGCACCTGTAACAGTGCGCGCTAACCCAACATCGAGAACAGCTCGGAAAGGTGCTCGTTCACCTTCCTTTTCAACATTATAATCGTCACCAGTCGCTTCTTCCACACCTTTGTATGCTTCTGCTAAACCGATGTTGAGCAAATGACGTCGGGCCAACAATAAACCAGTGGCATAAGCTGATGCATAGTTGGTCAAGCCTACCTAAAAACGACAAACTTGTCTTCATTCTTTCACATCCATCATATAGTCCGAAAATTATTAAAGCTGTATCCTGTCTCGAAAGTTTAACCATCCTCACCAACTATATGTAACGCAAACGCTACATTACAAATCGCAGCATGAATACTATATAATGTTCGTGTTTTTGAGAAAGCATGCAATTCATGCTAAACTTGAACTATAAAAATCAATCTAAATCAACGTACGCTGCTGAATTAACATAAATACTACCCAGTTACAAATTTTATAAATAATGATTGACCACAAACAAAGCAAAGATAACCTTAATCCCATAACGCGGTAACTCATGTGAGTATGCAGAACATACGACTACATCACCCTCAATTCGAGAATATGCGATCTAGAATTTAAATTGATGCTGTCGATGCACAACACTATAGTAAAATGATCTAACTCTAAATAATACTAAAGAGAATTTTTACAGTGCAAATACTATCCAGGAATACGTAACATAAAATCCCGAGCATGTATAATAATATTCCGTACCTACAATGATAAGACAGCGTTTACTCAAACATTACACATCTTCATTACAGAAATGAAGAAAAAGAAATAGGTTTGGAATCATATGAATCTGATTTCATCCCTTGGCTTCCATAGTTGTGGATTACCTCAATACAACTAGATCAACTTAGAATAAAGCAACTTGACTTACTTGAGCGATAACATCTCTGTTGGTGAAACGCACAATAAGACGATATTTTGGAGTGTTATATTTATTCTTGTCTTGCACAGTCAAACGTTTCCTCGCATAGTAATCCGTTTTACCCTCACGTCTACGCTTCAATTTCACCTGGTAACGTTTGAAATAAGCCTTGTTCTTGACTACCTTCACGAATCCCATCCTACACTCTAAAGTTGAAAAATTTTAACAATCCAATCTGAATGTTACGTATTTTTCATAATTTAATGTAATACTAAATACAAGAAACTCGCAATGCATCATGTACGCTTCACATATAGGACAGAACATACGCACTAAGTCAAAATATCGCTTTAACACTTCCTATTGAACCAGCGCACTTCAAACGTAAGACAAGTCACGAACATAACCCTTCTTCAACCTAAACAGTGCCACACACTCACGACCAGCGCATTAGTAGATCAACACGAACCAATCGAACCGGTCTTTAGGCTTTTGCATAACGCGGACGGTATGAAAAAGCTATGGACCAGGGCGGATTTATTTATGCTGTAGCTGTTTTACTTAGTTCTAGTTAAGGAAATGGTAAGGCTGTCTAGAAATTCTGAGAGTAGAATGTCCAGAAATTTTTGAAGATTTTTGGAATAGGGTTGACTAAAGATTGTTTGTCTTCGAATTTTGATGTCATTGAAAAATAACTTGAGATCGATTCAATAAACATGTGAAATAAATTTGAACTTTTTGCATCAGTCGTTTTTTTTTTTTTTTTTTTTTTTTTTTTACTTCTGCTTGACGTTATCCACAGGAGATGTACATATTTTATTCTTTCATTATATAACCGTCGCTCCGATGTTTAAGAGTAGAAAGACGAGAACATGAAACGGTAGGAGTCCAGATGGGTTTATTAGAACTTTCTGAAATTGTTGCCTTATCGTGATCGGAATAGAGGATTCAGGGAGCATCTGTATAGATTCGAAAGAAGAATGTTTATATACAATATATAATTAAGATTCTAAAATTTGCTGGAGTTATAAGCATATCTCAGAGTGACCTGAGAACTTCTGATTGAATTCGTATTTATTTGCTGCTTACCAGAGAAATTTACAATCATTCGAAGCTGTGTATCTGTGTGCGGTCTGTTACATCATTAGTCTTTGTGTTGCCGCTATTTTTATCCTTTCCATCTCGGATATATTTCCATTCTATTGAATTCTTACTTTTTTGGAAAAATAATTGCTTAAGTTTAGCCGCAGAATCAGTTGACTGAAATTTAGCAGTGCTGTCAGGAAGATCGATACACAATAGGAGACGTGTTCATAGTCGATGTATCGTAGCAATAATTTCAGCAATCGCTGCAGTTATCATCGTTAGTTCTTTTCATGATTTCTGTATGAGAGGTAGGCGGAAATTAGAATATTCCATTTATTCCACTGAAAGTCCGATTTCGGTTCTTCTACAGATGATTTTAGTAATATCTTGATCGCTGATTTTCTTAATCAAAAGGATTCGAAATTTTTGCTTTGAAAAATTCTCTTTTTGTTTCTTAGAAAGGAAGAGATGAAATTATTTGTTTGAATATGTTGAAGTTCTGGTTATGTATTTTGTATTGTAGCGTACCCTTGCAAGAAGCTGAGGACATCATTTTCCAGATCAAGAACATTCGCAGTGTAATGTTGGACCTAGACGATCGGCACTTCATGCTACTGGTGGTACTTCGTTGGGTCTGAATCGCAGGCATTTCGCTCAGCGGAATCATGCTTGGTCAAGTAAGTTATTTGAACTTAAATATCATCAAAATTGGTACAGAAAAGACCAAAAGCAATAATTACTGAATGTATTTTCCGAGAAAAATTGGATAATATAATTTCAGTTCCGGAATTGGTGAGGGAAACAGGATTAATTCTGGAAGTACAAAGAGATTATGGTCGTATCCTTAGTCAATCTAATTTTTCCACACCAAATGTTCATATTTATTTTTCGCTCTCTACTCTGGTTAATGATGCACCGCTGAGTGTAATCACCGATAATCTTGCAGATGTTTTTCAAGCTGGAGCAGTGGTATGCTTTTTTTTCATTCTCGTATTGCACTTGTCAAATTTTTTGTACCGCGATTGTATTCCTCAAGTGATTGCCTTATTTAATACATGCCTGAGGTCAGCATACGTAAATATAATTTACCTGATGCACATGTAATAATTTATTATTAAAACTATTGGGAAAATATTTTTTAATATTTAATGATGCTTGCTGTTTAATGAAGCTTTACTATTAGATTGTCATTAAATCGATGTCAGGTTTATTGATACAAAGGGGGATTTCAGGTGGAAATCGAAGTAGAGGGAGGTGTTAATCTGAAAGAGCTAAAACATAATATTCACGTGATATTGACATGTACCTCTATAAGGCCAAGCACGGATGCTGGTCATAAGCGTACGTTTGAATTTTGATTTTTTAGACCAGCAGTACTATTGGTGAATTTTTTACTTAACTCATTGTATGTTTTTCAGCGGAACTGGTACCAATGGTAGTAATACAAGATGATTGCGAAATACCACTTGCTCTGATAACTAATCACGAGCTAGTTGCACTCCCTCGGCAGGTCTTCCCAGTAGAAGAGGTTACTTCAGCATTTATGGCAAAGAAGAACTCAGTTATCACAGATGTAAGTTTTTTTCAACATTTTATGATCTGCTTAACTTCTGAACAAATTCCAAATTCCACAAAAAATTTTAATATGTGAAGTTCGAAAAAAACTCAGCGATGTTAAAGCATGACAAAAAATATGTCCAGAAGCGCAAAATATCCCAGATTTTGACATTTTAAAACATTCTTAGGTAGAGTTGCCAGAATTTGCAACTATTGGACGTTCCGTAGAAGGAGGAATCTTGAGTGCACCACCATGGATCCGTGAATTTACAAATCCTGCAGTCAAAAAGATTGCACTGAGTGTGCAACGCTTTGGGCGGGATCGAGAAGGTTTTGCAGTGATAAAGGAGGTTCTTGTTTCTTTTAGCATCTCAATATTTAGTTGATTACTTTTAGATTTTATTCCTTTTCTGTAACAGTTATGAAAATTTTGCAGTATATCGGACGTGGTGTTATCCTTACGCCAATCGATGAAGACGATAAACAAATGTGTGGTGATATGTTTTACCCCTATGAAATGCGAGTCAATTCGTCATATACGATGACAGGATGTGAGGTAGAAGTTTGATTCTGTAGTATTTTAAGAAAAATGTGTCTTCAGTCTGATCATATGATGAATCACTGTCGAGGTGTCGATCTAATGTCTAATAATAATTTGAGATGCTATATTTATTTTACATCATTGTGTTGTTCCATTGTATTCAGAAGCTTTAACTGTACATAAATGAAAAGAAAGTGGAGTTTTCTAAGAAAAGAGAAATATTGCTAATTAATTAGTGGCAATTATCGTCCATATACATTTAGAAAAATATCTGTATACATTCAGGATGTGTATCGCTTAGGCTCAAAATGGTATTTTCGTGCATGTCCAGAATTACCGAATCGTAAATACAAGTATCGAGTGTATAGTCTCAATAGTTTGGATGCCATCATCAGTGGTGATTTAATAGCACAGGAGCAGCTTTCTGATCATACTGTAAATATTTTCTCCTTAATAAATTACTTTCTTTAATTATTTTCTCTTTAATCGATAATTAGATTTGCTTATTTTATTGCTTCATAAGCGTTTTTAATGGAACGAATTAAATAATATTGTTTATATATTTACATTCAGTACAGTAATATTCAGAGAAGGAGAAAAGAAATTTTATTTAAATTGCAAAGTATTAAGGTCATAAAGACTCAAGGCTCTGTTACTGTTGATGTCTCGACCAGTGCCTTGGAAGCGAACGCATCTACTAATGACCAACTAGACAACTCAAACCAACTTATTGAATTCGATGATAAACCTTTAACGGTAGGTTTGATTGAATACGACAACAGTTCTCGGATCAATATTTGGACTCTAATAATCGGTAGGAAATTTTCATAACCATTAAAATGGGGAAAGAAGAGAGAAGGAAATGAAGATGAAAAAGACAAAAAGATTGTTGCTAATGCTGCAGATGTGTAAGAGTTAGTAAACTATCCTTGGATAACTGCACTCATATTGCGTCAATTTCAAAACTGAGTTATTCAGTAGTTCAGGTATCCTCACCAAATGCTTTTCCAAAACCCACAGCAGTTTCGCCGGTTACTCTAAACTTACTCAGTACTGTTAATTTCGATGCATCTCATGCGGCAACAGCAAGTGGTATCAATGAGACAATGATTTTACAAAATCCAAATCCTCCCGATGTGACTGATCGCAATTTATTGGTTGATTTCAATGTTGCTAATGAAGTACAACAAGTCGCACCGGATGTTCGACACCTTCATATATTAGATGAAGATTTTACCCTCTCTTCATTTAATTTTGATTTTAAAGAGGCGAAGAGCAAAGCAGAAATGTTTGGCTATAGTAATTACCAAGATAGTAAAGACGTATGGTTTGTTTTTCTCTCAGCTTCATTTAGCATATGGTTGTCTTTTGACCTGATATATGAGGATATTTAGGTAGACCTTAGTACCTCTTGTTTCACTGAAAGCATAATTATCGGATATCTTTTTTCATTCGATTGTAAGCTATCGAGCAGTGCGAAGTATTTGAACATTTTTTGAGATTGTCTTCGCTTGCTGCATCCGTAACATTTAGGACATAGTTCAGCAGCAACTAATTTATATTGCTTAAGCATGGCATCACTAGACAAAGAGTCAAGAAATGTTGATTTGAATCATATTAATGGATTTAAAACTACAAAAGGTTGGTTTCTTAATCTGGTCCATATTCAATTTTATGATAGAATTCTAATATCGTCGTTAATTTTTTAATATCATCTTTTTTTTTTTCTTTTAGCTTTATCTGACTATCGCTTTAAAATTTTCAAATAAGTACTTCCATATTATCTGAAGTTTAAGTCTAAAAACTCTTCCATCTTCAGAACAACCAGCGAAAGTGGAAAGTAGCGATTGTTCAGTAGAATTTACTTCGTGTAAACCCAAAAATTGTGTGGAAAATTGCTCAGTCCTGTGTAATGGAAATTCTGTAGTTGAACAGTTGGTTGATTTTAGCAATGACTTATTAATTGTTGATCAAGAGACGGATACTAGCGATGATGATTCTGAGAATGAAATGTTCCATGCAGTATCTGTGAAAAGAGAAAGTGATGATGGGGTTGGTGTTTCATCTTCAGTTTGACATTTTTTAGTGAGTTTGGAAAAAGTAAAATTTAATTGAGAAACTAAGATACTGAGTAAAAAACTATCAATTTTAAATTACAATTTAGATAAGTGCTGGTGAATGAGGATTTTGTCTTGAGAAGTGATGCAGTTATTTGTTTCGCGAAGTTTTCATTGTTCCAAGACAGTTAAATTCGTATGTTAAATTTCTCTATATTTTAGTGGTGGTTCACTCGCAGGATCTCAAGTAGAATAGATTCAACGGAAGATAGGAAAGCAAATGTTGAGTTAGGGAGGCTGCCGTATTGCAACAGAAATTCTGAAGCAGCAGAGGTTATTAAATGATTCGCTATTTGGGATAGTGAAGAATTTTCTAGGGAAAACTTAGTCTACTTGCCTGGTAATGCATAACATTTTCTTTTTGCATTGCATTTGCATCACCACTATCAGCGAAATTTGCTATAAAATTTCCAACCTCAACTGTTAGCCAACGGCAAAATTTTAGCTTAACCCAACACCCAAAGATGATAAACCACCACTATTTCTAACTGAAGATCATGTAAATTGTGAAGCAACTTCCGTGACGATAACACCAGAGTTATCTCTTACAAATACTCTTCAGAACGATGGTGTAAGTTTTTTTTTTTCTTTCTTTCTTTATTTGCTTTTGTTTTGTTAATGATTTTCACTTTTGGTCGGGCTTATCCGCCCTAATTTTGTTAATTGATGATGACACCATTTCGTGTTGGTTTCTTTCACATTAAAAAGTTACCCAATCATATAACAAAAGCGTCACTTATTAGAAGTCTAACTATTGCGTGACATTTTAACGATGACTGCATAAGATATTTCATTTGTAGAAAAGAGAGAGAAGTGAGGTTGAAACCTTGGATCTATTTTTAAGTTTACATGATCTTTCTCAAAAAGTTTGTGGAATATTTTAATTTGGATGAAGAAATAGTAGATTGTATTAATTTACGCTGCTTTATTTAATCCAATGGTTGTTATCAGGATAATCTCGTTTTTAGATATATGCCAAGTTTTTTGCTGGACTTCTTTGAAAATGAATGTTAGGATAACAAACGATCTTTCCATATCATTTCTTTTTATTCAAAAATTATATTGATTTCAATTACAAGGAAAATATTGCTGCTTTAACACCATCTATTTTTTGGTGGTGGCACCTTTTCCTTTTTTCTCATAGGATGACAAATAGTTGCATGAAAACTTATGTTCACCAATTTCCCAATAGATATTCGTATTTGTTTTGGTGAAAATTATGAATTATTACCGGAATTATTTTCTTTGTAATTGTTTTCGTTTGTATTACTGAAATTGTTTTTTTTAGAATCGTCTGTTAAAATTATTTTCATTTTCACTCTCAAATTTCTAAAGGAATGTCCTGAAAAAATAAATTTGCGTTTGTGATTTTATGGATTTGTTGACTCGAGGACTTGAAATTTATTAGTTACAAATATCAAGATTCAAATTATTCCGTATTAATCTTATGTAAATTTTCATTTTCGAGATAGTCTTTGTTAAGATTAAACTATAATGTGATAATCACTTTTTCTCATCGTTGTATAATCGAGTGGCTGTGTGTTTGCTTTTATCTTTGATTCTTGAGGTGATATTGTAATTACTTCTAGTGTATTTCTCAGTTATTTATTTTCTTTTTGCACAACTTCATTAATCATTCTTGATTACTCGTTTTATAGAAACTAAGGCGGATCTGACTGACAAACAATAACCATATATCGAGTATTACTGAAATATTTTTAGCTGTGATTTTTTTTTCTTAGATAAATGTTAGGGCAATCTTATTAAACATAGGCTAGCAATTTTTTGGTAAATTGGGAAAGGGTAAAGTAAGATGTAAAGTAACCTATTAATTATGTTCTACAGGTGTTATATCGTAAATATGGAAGTAGATCCATTCCTCGGTATTAATAGATCATATACGATTTCTCATGATCTTATTCTGCTCTTTATTTATTCAATAATGAAATAGATATCAAACTTTTATTATTTAATTGATTGTTTAAGAGGAAGGATTTTGTATGTAATCTTGTGACACTTGTTATGTTCAAAAATGAATAAAAGTATAATGGAAATTGGGAAATTTACCGACATGACAACGATTTATACTTCTAATTTTAATGAATTACTTTGAAAGCACAGAAAAGTGTAGAACTAGCCTGGTGAACAAACAAATTTGAGATAATCGTTGATGCAGGAAGATTTGTTGTTTAGAATGTTGCTAGCAGTATATCGAGCATATGAAAGAGCTCTAGTAAAATATCCATTTTTAACGCAAGCTTCAAGTGCTGGTTAGTTTTCTCATCTCAGATTAAGGTAACATAAAGTTAGAAAATTCAAAGATAGGGAAAGCAAGTTATGATATATGAATAGAAAGAGAAAGGACTAAACATGGTTATGCCCAGAAAAGATTGATTATTGGAAAGTTAGTGGTTATCATTTCACATGTTCTCATACATACATAATCATCTCAAGAAATAAAACTGATAAAAGGTAATCATGGAAGATTTACTCTCCAGTATGGGTTTTCGAAATGTTGTTTTGTCTCAAACGTCTGATAGTTTAGATTTTTTTTATTTGGGATCATTTTTTTACAAGCCCATAGAGAAAGTACAATGATTTTGGTTGGAATAGGAGACTCAACATAGATATTTCGGTTGTATTTTATCACTAAGTCTGAAATATCACCAGCTTTCCTATCGTTAGCTGTTATCTCAGTCGTCCATCTTCAGTGTTGTTTGTATTCTTTTCGACAACTGTTTAGGAGCATTAGCAGCAATGGCTGATATGTTAACTCAAAATTTTGTTGAAAAACGTTGGCAAAAAGGGAACTATAATCCGGCAAGAACAATACGTTTTTCTGCTCTCATTCTTTTCTGGATTGTTAGCTTCTTTTCTTTTTTTCAGAAGACTTTGGGAAGACACTTATTAAATTTTATCAAATAAATAAAAACCTATCTTGAATTCATTGAAGTTGAAGGATAAACAAGGATTATGGGGGCTTTAGAAGAAGTAAAAATGATAACATATACGTTATATTTAATAAAAACATAAAAAATTAATTAGTGCATCGAAACTTTTTCTCAAGAAATGGAAAGTAAGAGAGACGTGAGAATGTTACGTAATTCACGTAATTAAGATCGAAATTCTAGTACCGATAAAGACTGATATATCCAATCCAATTGTTATTTGATATTAAAATATATGATATGAGCGTTATCTTGTTTATCTTATATTTTCAAATAATATTTATTTCCATACAGTTTTTTAAGGCTCCTATAACTTATCGATGGTTTTTATTACTTGAAAAACTGAAAGGTAAAACAAATTTGCTGCCGTTGAAACGGATGATTCTTGATCAGGTTTGTTACTTTTGGCGAATATTGATGGTGATAATAATTATGACAATGGCAATTGTTACGTCATAACAGTTTGTTTTTGTTAATTAGTTCCAATTCAAAATCAAAAGACATTTTAGCAATATTTTTTGAATATCTTTCTTTTTTTGAACCTGCAATTTAATATTTTAGTCCTTAGCAGCACCGCTATTTACGTTTAGTTTTATCACAAATTTGCATATATTGGAAGGCAATTCTCCACATGATGCATTGGAAAAAGCAAAGAAAGATATTGTTCCAGTTATGAAAACTAATTATAAAGCAGGATTTCTCTTTTTTGTTTGAATTTTTGGAATATTGTTTTAAGAGATGAAATTATTGAATTTAGGAAACTACATGATATGTAATGTCGTAGTATTTGTTCCGTAATTTTGTCATATATTCAATTATTCAGCAGATCAAAATAATTAGTAATATTATTAATCATACTTCTTGACATAGATCATAGATCGAAATTATCTCATCATACCTCTTATTCTATTATTTTCGTAGTGCGTAGAAAAGAAAAAGCTAAAGGCTAGTGATAATATATAGGAATGGAGAAAGTGATAAGTTGACATAAGATGCTTTCAAAAAAGATAGAATGAATGACTGCCATTATTACTACTATTAGTGATTTGTTGATTATTTACATATCATTCCTAAAAATTTTCGGTTATCATTAAAGGAAGTTTTTAATTTATTGTTTAACTGAAAATATTCGTTAGTTGAACATATGTGACACTAGTGACACTAATTACATAAATGTCGAAATGAATGGAGTATTTATTATCCACTTGTTTTTTTTTCAATTTTGTTTTCAAAAAATGCAAGTAATTTCAATTTAGGTCTGGCCACTTGCACAACTCATAAATTTCTATTTGTTGCCGCTCCGTTACAGACTTACATTTGTTCAATTAATGGGCCTATTTTGGAATATGTATTTATCGTATGTTACTCAAATTGAAGTTAAACAGATAAATGAATCAAAAGAACACTCTAGGAAAGATTAATTTTGTGATCTAAAGATAATTTGGAATAAAATAAAACTATTCAGCGTTATTCCTTACTATTTTATCGCATTAATTAAATACACTATTGCCTTAATAGCTACAGTACAATAAAAGCGTGGCGAATAATAGAAACGGAACTTATTACTGTCCAATAATAAATAAGTGATGGGAAATGTTCCCGAGATGACCACATTCATTCTTGTGAAGTAATAATGATTGTGAGCGAAAGTCCCTGAACCTGAGACTGAGAGAACGAAGAAAAAAATTATATTCGAAAAAAATCATATTCTTCGAAATGCAAATCTAAATCATTCTTGTTGCTATTTCGGGATGTATTTCTGGAAATCTACTTATTGAATATTCCTCCTATCATCATTGACCAGAAATTTCAGCATTATCAACGTTTGTCATCTTTTTTTATGACAACTATGCTGAAGGAATTCTAAATGAAATGTAAGCTAATAAAAATTAAAAAATTACCATAAAAATTACTTCTTCCACTCACAAATTTCATCGATTGAAAAGAATTTTACAATTGAGAATGGAGTTGCAATATGTAATGTGACCATATAAATTAATATAAATTATACTTTCTCTTTAAAGCATCAAACAATCACCGAAACATTTTCCTTCTCTTTTCTTTGTTTCTCCTTTTTCTTAATATTAAATATATATATATATATATATATATTTTAATATTATAATATTGTATTTTAATATTATCCCCATATTATCCATTCTATTCCATATTTATTAGAACGAAGAAGAGCAAACGATTAAATATGATCAATTCATAGAATTTTGTTAAATAAATTTCTGCAAAAACCGCAAACATTTAGTTTAGTGATATATATTTGATTAGACATTTCATATAGTACTTTATTACTAGGACTCACAAAAGTTATTTAAAAATATTACAGTCATGATAAGTGTGAGATAATAGTAGTAGTAGTAGTAATAATAATAATAATTATTATTATTATAATAATTAGATAATAGAGATATCATATTTAAGTATTTCATGTGGTGCAAACAACACGAGTTTTTTTGATCTATGATACATCGTCGTTTCTCTCTAAAATTCTCTGATGCATAGTTAAAAATAATAATTTTGACTTCAAGTGTAATTATTCTATAATAAATGTTAGGTAGTTGCATGAAGGTAAAATTTCTCAACATTTGTTGATCTTTTGATGATTAATCAGTCTTACATGATATATTCTTTGCTGAAGCTTTCATCTTATGTGAAAAAGTTTTGGATTGCTATTTTTATTTAAAATATAACACATCGATGCATTTAGCATGATACCATGATAAATAACGTGTCTTTTTTATTACGATTCGCGTAATTCACACAGCAAAGATCTCTTCGAACTAATAATATGTTCTGATGTTTATATTACTGCTATAAATCTTTTTTACTATTTTTAAATCTTAACATAAATTTTCTATAAAAAAAAATTGTGACTAGAAATAAAGTGTCTGAATAATCTGTTAGTTACGTTGTAGCATATGCAAAACATATTAGTCGTTGTGATATTTTATTTCTAATAAATATATTTGCAAAATGGAATTATTTCCGGATACATTTCTTTCCTTCTCGTATAAGTGATTTAATCGAAAGAAAAAAGAAAGAAGACGTTACATTTCTTCGATTCACACTTTTTGCACCTTGTGATGACCATCAATTGATGTATGTCTGTTTCATTTCATCTTTATGTCAAATCTAAATCTATTTCACTCCCATCCGTTGTCATTGTATTGGTCGCCTTGAAATTCTTCTCCTGTCGATGAGTAGTACTATTGAGAATGGATGATTGGTAGTTTTCGGGGCGTAAAAAGGTGGCGAATAAGAGAGAACAAAAAAAGAAAATGGAAAGACTGGAAAAGCATCGATTCTTCAATCATAAACTCTTCTTTGCTTATGCTACCCTTATTGTCGTTATTTGTCTATCGCTGATTACTTACTTATTTGTTCTTTCACTAATAACATTAATCTAAAATTCAACCTTTTTTCATTCTTCCATGAAATGAGAATTCAGTTGATCTTTAGTCCTTCTTCTCTTCAAAGATTGTAATAGTTATAGAAATTTTATGGTTGAAATAATCTAATAATCGTGCAGCTTCATTTCTGCTGTTGAAAATTAATTCATTTATAAAATTATTTCCATCATATTTACAATTGTTATTCATTCAGTCTTTCCTGTATCATTCTTTGATTATATCCCACTTATGTTCCATAATTCTCATTTACGTGTAAGATATATTTTTAAAAAAAGATTTAAAATCGATTTTTTAAAATTCCATTTCTTTCAATGTCCGAAAATTTTGCACATGTAAATTTAGAATTTAGTTTCCTTTTCATTGCTTTAAAAAATGTAACAAATGATACAAAAGACTGATGAATTAGGCAGAAAAATTCTCTGTGTAGTGCTTTTATCTTTTTTATGATACCGAAAAAAAAGCGAAACAGGAATAGAAAGCGGTGATGGTAGAAGTGAAAGAAGAGGGAAAAAGATAAACGATGATAGCATAGTGTTAAAAATGGGAAGTGACAAAATCATAATTATTCATACTCTTTTTATATCAATCAATGCAATATGAAATATTTGTTTATTCTATCAAACTTGATTTTTCGAAAATTTATGCATTAAAATTTTCATCTCATAAAAAAAATGAATCAAAATGTTTGATAGACTTTTTTGAATATGTTTACATCTTTTGGAAGAAAACTTTGATTATATTATATTTACTATCAGATAAGCGCTGTTGCAATGTTTTAACTTCTGAGGATAGTTTATCCTAATATTTTGCTTTGATGAGGTGTTTAGATGTGATAATATGTAATATGTAAGACAGATGTGTCATTTTTTGAAGTAATTACTTGTTGAAGAACATTCATTAACGTAGTTTTCTTCTGAAATACTCTTACTTTAAAAGTAATTTAAATTTAATGGAGCAAAAAGAATTGCGAATATCCAAACTCAAATACGTCAAGAATAACGAATCAGATGACGTTGCTTGTCCGATTACTTTATCAATATGCTATTTTAACAATACAGTAAAGAAAAATTAGGTTTCTTACTTTATCTCGCCTCTTTAATTAACATTAGTTAACCCATCCAAAAAAAAAAAAAAAAAAAAAAAAAAAAAAAAAAAAAACGATGTCTATCTCTTCTGTGATTATTTAAATGCACCGCAGCAAAAATTGCATTTGTCTCTATATTATTTCAGTTAAAACATCAATTTCATTGGACTAGTTGCCAGCAAAATATTTTCACGCTGTTTGATCGGTTTTTTCCTACTCAAATCTTTACTATTATTTTAAATTAGATTTATTTCTAGTTAAGTAGTACTTATTCATCCCTATCTAAATGTGTTCTTATTTTCAATTAGACTTATTCTGATAAAGTTTGTAACATTTCTTGCTTTCCTTGGTAATTTTGAATGTCTAAAGCATTATCATTCTTATCATTTAGTGCTTCAATTATTTCCGATAATTGATAGGAAGTAAGAATAGTAATCAAATATTCAATGCAATTCGGTTTGAAAAATGCTGTCATTACTATTATTACTAGTTAAAAATCTAATTAAAAGTAGTACTTAGCTACCTAACCACTAAAAGTAGTAGCTATTTGTCCACTTAAGAAAAGTAATTATTTGTATACCTGCTTAAAATAAAAACCGAGTTCTTCTGTTTGCTTATTCTTTCACCGTTTTTCATTCACAAATTTCACTATCAATGGATAAATGGAATTAATCTTTTATTTCAATAATTTCCATTTTTTTTCTTTTCACTTCATCCATTCTTACTCAAGATTTTACTTGCATTTCGCATAAACTATTTCATGTCCTACTTTTTTTTTTCATTTCAAAACTTATTGTTTATCAACTTTATTAATCCTAAACAAAATGAAACAACACAAGATCGAATTTTTGGTCTATGAACAGAACTAAAAAAAACCTATTTTTCTGATGGAAGTTAATTAATATAATGGAAAAAAATGGAAGAAAGATTGGGCCTAATAATATATTTTGATATTTCCCGATGCTGTACTGATGCATAAACATTGCTATCTTAGTGATCCGGCTAGGATGCGACACACTTCATTTCCACATCATTAAACTTAGCACCAATCAAAAGAACTGATAAGATCTCCGGTAGAAAAAAAACTAATTGCACATACTTTACATACTAACTTTTTTATTGATTATCGGTTTCTATATGATTTCTAGCTGTGAAATGAAATATAACAGACTTATTTACAAATCTCATTCTCATTACTTCTATACTTACCTCATTCAACAATTCAATCATTACCTGATACGACCATTTTTTCGAATTCTTTAAATTTTCAAAATATCTTAATTTTACTCCTTTCTTTTTATTAACTCATCTGGCAAAAAACTAGCTTATTAGACACTTTGTATCAGATTAACTTCTTTAAATCACTGAAATCAAATTAACGAAGTGAACTAATTTTGAAATTTATTAAATACATTGCATAATTCCATTATTTCACATCCAAAATAATTGAGTATCTCCCTTATTATCTAAAACTAAGGAAGGTTATCAATATTTCTGACATCAATATTTATTTTATTAAGCGTTAAAACAGAAACCAAAATTCTGGTCTTTTTGTTATTGTCTTTACAATCGATCAATATTTTTGTTTTTTCAATTTAAATACCAATTTGATGATATTTTCCTAGGAAAAAAAAAGAAAAATCTTACATCAGTGACTAGTAAGAAAATGTTTGGAATTTAACATTTTCTTGATAAAGAAATACGTCAGTTGAACAATCGCTGCTGTTTTTATTATCTGTTTTCCTTCTTATCTTGATCGAATTAATCATTACTTGGTTTTTTTTTCTCTTTTTTTTTTTTCGCTCTCTATGATAATAATGATGATTACAGTAATGGTAATGATAAAGAATACATTCAGGATACACATTTAATTAAACGGTCAAACTTTAGATATAAAATATCATACGAGCTA